GCGAATGGTAAATATGTTACGGGCAACGTAAGTATGTCAAGCATCGTCGATGGTGTTCATACCTACATATACTATGGAAACGCATACCTATCTCCAGATTTTCTCTTGGTAGCTACATTCTGTAGGTGGGACCAAGGAGGTTTATTAGCATAAAGTTTATTTTTAACTGCCCAAGGCGGTATTACTTAAGGATGCACTTCAGATTTAAGAGTTCAGCGAATGAAATTGCTCGCTTCTTTTTCTATAGGTATCTTTATGGATTGGAGGGGGAATTTACCTATGGGCCTATCAGCTTAGTTGCTCATAAGTGTATTTTGGTAGTTTTTACTTCACTTGCCTACCTTTCGATTAAAAATGTTTGTGCTCACAATACTCCGGGTAATCTGATGTTCGTAATAAAAATGTGTTAACTTACTCATTACACATTACCTGCTCTCCAAATTTTTAACAATAAAATTTTTTTGGCCAGATTCTTCAGGAATTTTTCCAATTTCAAAATACCTAAGGGCTTTCTGTTATTCTCATTAGAAAAGTAGATAAGTCAGTGGAAGTAGTTCATAAGGATCATCATAGCAATGTGTCTTTTCAGACATTTTAAGTACATTGTTTAAGTAAACTATTTCACTTTGAATAAATAAGGACTCTGACATTAGAATTTTCTTATGCTCATCTTTGAAGTATTTTTTAGCCTTTCAAAGCTTACTGATATCATTGACTTTCAATGACTTCATTTGTCAATATGTACATCCAAGAATTCACATGACTGCTAGCCTTCGACATTCATAACAACCTACGATTAAAATTAGGTAACTGCTCCAACACATATAATGTGCAGGAAAAAAAATTTCTTGCAAATTATTTGCTAAGGCTATTTTATTTTATTTTGTTTGAGAGATTTACCTCCTCTAATTTTTTTGAGAAAATCAGTTTGATTTCAAAAGGAATTTTTTTAATTTGAAAATAAATTGGAGCACATCTTTCAAAATATATTAACCGATCCCTGTTGGAATTATTCTGTGCGGAATCAAGCAGAGGTTATTCAAAGGTAACCAACTGTAAAATTTTGGATAGTCTGATAGGTAAATGTCATTCAAACCAAAGTTGACTTTTTTTTTTTTTTACCTAACATAGTTTTTCAAGTCATTTCCTTAGTTTAAGCTTGACCTCATAACTCCATTTAAAAAGGATTAATGCAGGCATCATAAATGCTAGCAGTATTTTATTGTGAGTGCCTGTATTCAATTTTGTTCTCCCTGTCTTTAAAATTTGGATAGAAATATTTTTCATCTCCAGGGGAAGCATAACATCAAGAAGGAACTTTGTTTGTAATGAATCCTTATCCACCAATATTCATAGCTTAACATTTTCCTCCCTTTTATTAAGCGTCTAATGGTCTCAGCATGTGCAGAAAAACCAAAAATAACTAATATAACCACAAAAAACCCTCAAAAAGGGTAAAAATTCCGCCAAGCCTATGAGATCTTATCACAAAATTAGTAGGTAGGTATTTATCTTAACAAATTTTAGAAAAGGAGAGGGGGGGGGGATAGTAATCTCTTGAAAATTACAGAAGGAGAAAAGAAAAGCAACTCAAATTCTGTTTTCCATTTCAAACCTCAAAATGTCTGATATCATTTGAGGTCAAGATTTTTTAAGTATAAGTACGCCCCAGAACTACAACGAGCAAACGGGAAATTAATTCTGCTTAGAATCCCCTTCAGTTAGTCTCGGACGCAACCAGCTTACCTTTGAAGCTAGTTTGGTTGCCTGGGTCACTAATACAAAGAAAGATGATTGGATTTCCTTTATTCGAGAAGATGGCGAGGGATAAAATAAGCAGTTCTTTTTTCAGTCTCAAACCTCAAAATACATATATTTGATATCTTTTGAAGTCAAGATTTTTTACCATCCCCTCATCTCACTTTCATTTTCGTTTTGCATTTTAGGAAACAAATTCCACTCTTATACATCATTGAACTTTCTTTAATTTTTCGCTAATTATTCTCCTTCATTTCAGGTAGCCGCAACTTTCCTTACCTACAATAGCTATGTAAGGAACCATTGTATAATACTTACGAGACCTTCCTCGTTTAGATCAAGAATAGAATAAATGTTTTCAATTCAGATTCTGGCACACTCTTTGAAAATTAAAAAAAGAAGTCAGGTAGATGAAGGTAGATTTTTTAAAAAGAGCCAAAAAAAAATTAGCTAAAAAATAAAAAATTCTGGCGAGACGGTCCCGATACGTATCATTTGAGTGTCAGCTGCAGCCCATCTTCTTTTAAACATCAAGGTATAGCCTCAAGCATTGCAAGTAGAACAACAATGGAAGGATTACTTGAATGCTCGAAAAAACTCCTTTTAAATTCCAGCTAGCACTCTAAGCTTATGAAATTCGTTTCGTGGCAGATCCCGAGGACTTATTTAGAAATTTATTCGTTCACTTGAAATGAAGGAGCTGACCGTCGAATTTATGATTTTTCCGCCTGGCGCTGACAGTAATAATTAGCCGTCCTGAATTTTGAAGGACCTAGGTGGGCGAGTGGTGAAAAGGAAGAAAGAAAAATCGACTCGAACTGGTAAAAAGATGCATTTTCATTTTTCGGCAATTTTTTTTAGGGGTATGTATGTTCGACATTTTCTCCTCGGCCAATTTGTCTATTGCTTCGAAATTTTACCGGAATATACTACGAAGATCGGTGATTAGCACTGCGGAGGTCATAAGTCTCCATCTCAGAAATCCCTTCAGTATTCCTTTAATAAACGTCTCTCCCGTAAGAGACGTTGGGAACTTATGCGGTTTTTGCATTTTTCATTATTATTTTTCTCAGGTGACCGAGCTGTAGTCGTCATGGTTACGTGTCTCTTTCCGACGACACTACTCGGTTGCGTTACCCGATCAACTTCGATTGTATGACGTCACTTTATTCGGCTTTGTTGCCGGGTCAACCTACTTTTTATTATTATTTTTTCTCTTTTGTTCAGGAATTCAGTAACTAATTGTAAATTCGGACAGTTTTGATTCGCAACCGATGAAATGTCTGGTGTCACCGAACTTTGACAAAAATAGTCCTACTATATTTGATTACCGTCTTATTTACTAACCTTTTTTTCCCTTTTGTTAAAATTTCTATCAATTTTAAGTGTTTCTGCCTGAATTTAATTACTGAATTCTGACGAAGTACTTGCATCTTTGAAACACTCATTTTTATGGAGATACGTAGAGAATATAAAACTGACGAAGAACACGAGAATAAGTGGAGAAGATGAAGATAGCCAATTTGTTGAGGAAATCCTCATGGAAATAGGAGAGGGTTAGGCAGCTGTAGATTCTTCAGGTGAATTAATATTACCACAAAGGAACAAAGGAAAAAAAACAAAGGAAAAAAACCCGGTATAACTCTAGAAAATGTCTACTGGTCGACACCATATGTGGCTGTGTGGAAAGTACATTTAAAAGTACGTTTCAAGTTTAAAGTGAAAGTAAAAGAAATCAGTTTAATCACTACCCAGATCGCCGGTAATCAGTTTACCGGCTACCACCCATCTCACAAACATTTCCTCCGAATCATTGCACAACCTGGCAACATGGGCGTAAGTGTTCTGAGAATAATTATTTTTCATCAACAAAAATATATGTTTCAAGAATGTTGGACAAATTAATTTTTATCCTCGGGCCTGATTATTTTTTTACGACCACTTTCTTATTTTCAGTCCTGAATATTTTTTCTCAATCATGTATTTTTTTTTTTATCAGTGCCCAGAATATTTTTTCTCAATAATTTTTTTTTCTCTGTTAGAATATCTATTTGTCCAAACGGCAAACCATAGGTTGACGTCCCTTAGAACTAATTTAAATATCTCTATTGATGTAGTGGCCCTGAAGTCTAGATGCCTTGATGAAGTGGCCTAGTGGGCCTTGTCAAACATGCCAACCAGATCGTCCTGTTAAAATGCATACGTAGCCTTATTGGGCTAAGTTTAAACTTGTAATTGACGCCTATTGAATTTCTGTTTTGCTGAAGCGATATCAATTGAACCTCAAGTGATACGTAGCAAGTTTCAACTGTTACCTATTGAGGCTCAACATATATCTATTGAGTATCATCTGGTATCAGTTCAACCTCTACTGGTACCAGCTGACACTCATCAAATATCTGTAGACTTTCAATTGGTATCAGTTCAACCTTTACTGGTACCAACTGCTACTCATCAGATATCTGTCGACTTCCAACTGGTATCAGTTGGTAACAGTCGATATCAGTTAAAATCTGTCAATATCAGTTCATTTTCTCTACTGATCTTAACGAATCTCAACTGATAATTTTTAAGAGGGTTACTATGTGTAAGACGATTTTTCTCGAAAATAGTTTACGATTAGCCGTAAAACTATATAAATGTGTCGTATTAATGCATTTAATTGAAGTTCTTGTTGCTATATGCAAATAAAACTAAATGTTGAGTCCTTCTGTACTTACATTCACATACATTCGCCATTCAGCCTGAAGTGGCTGAGCCGATATTAGGTGGTAATTGCAGAGACGATACTCTCTCTGCAAAGGTAGGCTTACTCTACCGCTAATGTATTTGCTTCTTATCTGTTCATGGAGTTTGACTAGATAAAGAGGTGGAATCTCCACGTAGCTTGAAATATTTTCTCCACTACGGTCTCCGTTTCGACACTTTTTTTTTTTTTTTTTTTTTTTTTTTTTTTTAAGTCTTAATTAGAGTTTGTTTCAGAGAAACCAGAGGCACCATCGTATTTCTCGCGACATTTTACGTAAGAGTAAGGACTTAAATCGTAAATCCCCCACAAATGCAAGAGCTCCATTTTATTAATCATCTAATGATACATTTTTGATTTGATTCATCAACAAACAAGTATGAATATATTCATAAATTGTGAAAATTTTAAAATGATTTTTAAAGGGCTATTTTCTAGATGTTTTTTTTTTATACCTAATATCATGTCAGTTGTTATTATTGAATGTTTAATACAGGTATGTACTATGGCGTTAGCATCTGTTTAGTAACGTTGGCGTCTGGTTTGTCCGTGGTCACTCTCAATATATACCACAGAGGAGTACGAGGAACGAAGGTTCCAGGGATCATCAAAGCTACGATGCTTGGCAAACTAGCGCGATGTCTATTTCTTCAGTTCGAGCCAAGAAAAAAAAATTCCCAGGTCAGTGGAGACAACTGATCGAATCATTCTAGGTTTGACATTTATACAGGGTGATCCAAAAGTCCCTTCCACCCCCTCTAACTTTTTATCTAATTGAGATAAAGATTTGAAACTTGGGGGATATTCCTAAGTCAAAGGGAGCTACTAAAATTACTTATAAATTAAGTAATAAAATGGGGGGGGGCAACGGACCCCAACCTTTAATTTCCAAATAGGAAGACCCCCTTTGCGATAGCTCGTTCGAAAGAGCATAAAAAAAGAAAACTTTTCGCGCAAACCCGAAGTCAATATCTCAAACCGTTTCAAAATGGCGGCCGGTTAAAGTGCAGAATGGCCGAAAACTCACACCGGTTATTTGTCGATGGATTTGTGCGAAAGTCGGTATGTCGGGGTATTGTGACACGAGAAAAACGAATTTGACGTTAGAATTTCAAAACAACCGAAATTTCCAAAATGGCTGCCGGTTAAAGTTTAAAATGGCCGACAATTGTCACCTCGGTTTTTTGCTGGTGGATTTGCCTAAATCTTGGAGTTTGAGAGTATTTTGGTATGAGATTAACATGTTTGAACTTAGATTTCTGAAAAAATCAATTTTTGGTCATTTTGAACTTTAACCGGGGGTCATTTTGGAAATCTCGGTTTTTTTTTAAACCTAACGTCAAATTCGTTTTTTTCGTGTCAAAATACCCCTTGATACCGATTTTCGCTCAAATTCATCGACAAATAACCGGTATAAATTTTCGGCCATTTTGAACATTAACCGACCGCCATTTTGGAATGGTTTGAGATATTGACTTCGGGTTTGCGCGAAAAGTTGTCTTTTTTTTATGCTCTTTTGAACGAGCTATCATAAAGGGGGTCTTCCTATTTGAAAATTTAAAGTTGGGGTCCGTTGCCCCCCCCCCCAAGAGAAGCCCCCCTGAAAATTTTAGTAGGGCCAAAAAGTAGCTCCCTTTGACTTAGGAATATCCTCCAAGTTTCAAATCTTTAACTCTTTTAGGTAAAAAGTTAGAGGGGGTGGAAGGGACTTTTGGATCACCCTGTATAGTATACATTGCATGTGCAATCAATAAATCTCATCCCTGACGAGCGCATACTTCCCCTTTGCATTTCATTTATTTTGCATAAGGAATGAATAAGGATGTGTCTTTTTTCAAAGATTCTTTTAGAAATGAGTTGATCAATAATAATTTGTTAAAAGTTCTCTCAGAATAAAGACAGGATAGTAGCAGAGCCCGTATTGTAGTGAAACTCTAAATTCATCATATATACAGGACGAATGGAGAAAATAATGTAGGTAATGAAAAAAACAGGTGCTGAAATGTTTTAGCTCTCTGCTCTTGAGTGGCGGAAGAGAGTAGCAGTGCAGTCTTGAACGGACGGGCGAGCCAAAGGAAGAGCAGCCAAAGAAAGGAATCAAGAAAGGAAGCCAAGAAAGGAGAGCAAAGGAAGGATGGGAGTGCTCGTAGTGAAAGAAACATCCTTAGACGGGCGTGTCTCTTGAAGCATAAGGAAAGCAGCCTTAGACGGGCGTGCCAGGTTAGTAGGGTAAAAAATGAGGACTTTCGGCCAGTAAAAAACACAGTAAATATCCAACAGCGTTGCCGGACGGAGCACAATAATAATTATTTAATTAGGGTGTTGTGGGGCGGGTATTGTACTATATGGCAACGCTGTAAAAGTATTTTATGTAGCCCCTTCGTTTTCTGGGTAATGCAATGATGTATGTAGCGGTGTAGCCCCTTCAATCTGCGGGTTATGCAATGGTGTATGTTGCCCCTTCAACTCGTAGGTTATGCAACGACGTTGCCGGACGGTGCACATAAATGAATGATTTAACTATCGGTGAAACTTGGCAACATTGCATTTTACAGTATTGCCAGATGGTGCAAGAAATTGAATAATTTTTCAGTACATTGTCGTTAGATTGTGCAAAAAAATTCTGAATTTCGCATTTGTAAAATTTTCGCCGTCGAAAGGCCTTCTCATCCAGGATGGGTCTGGTATCGGGTATCGGAGAGTAGGGTCTGATTCGGGAATTTCAATTTTTAGTATTGCGTGGCGGTGTGAATTGGACCTTGGGTTTCGGGATGAGCAATTGGGATTTGATATTCCAATGCTCAGTTTAATATTATCTTACTATTAGGGGGCCCTTCCCCCTGACCGCTACGCAACCCAACCACCTGGAGGGCAGTAGAGAGGAAATAGCGACTTGACCGCAGTAAAATATCCAACAGCGTTGCATGATGGTGCAGAAAAATATGAATTAAATAACAGCGTTGTTTAGGGATTATTGTTTAATATGGCAACGCTGTAAAAAGAAAGTATTGCATGTTGCCCCTTCATTTTGCGGGTTATGCAATGGTGTATTTTTCAAGATGGCGCAGCAGCGTTGCCGCGTGGTGCATGTAAATAAATGATTTATTTATTGGTGAAATTTTGCAACATCGCATTTTACAGTGCTGCCAGATGGGGCAAGAAATTAGGTGATTTTTAGATACAGTGTTGCCAGATTGTGCAAAAAAATTCGGATTTTCGGACTTGTAAAATTTTTCCGTTTTGGAAGACGAAATTTGAAACATTTTTGAGAAAACTTCTTCGTTTTTAATATTTTAGACCTTTTAGACGTTGGTCTTACAGGTCTAAAATGAAATTAGTTAATTTTTCGATACAATGTTTTCAGATTGTGCAAAAAAAATTCGGATTTTCGGACTTGTAAAATTTTCGGTTTCGGAAGACCGTATCTTGCAGTATGGGCCTGGTATCTGATACTGGAGATTAGGGTCTGATTCGGTAATTTCAATTTTTTTTTTTACTAGTGTGCGCTTGGGGATGCGTTTCGGGAACCTTGTGTTTTGGGATGAGCGACTGGGAATGGATATTGCAAAGTTCAGCAGTTTGACGAATCAAAAATTTTTATTGGATATTTACAGTTACAGTTACAGTTACAAACAGTTCGCGTTTCGAAAACGCAAACACGTTTCGAAAACGCAAACACGTTTAGAAAACGCAAACACGTTTAGAAAACGCAAACATGTTTAGAAAACGCAAACACGTTGCATATAATTTATACGAAATCCTTACTATCGATCCAACTGTTGTGACTCGCGTCCACACCCAACCATTTGACAAAGACCTGGTTTTTCTTGCGACGCAGAATTTTCTCCACCAGGAACGTATCTTTATAGTTGGTGGGTTGGAGTTCTTCGCGGTAGAATTTTCCTTTGATGATCGTATCGTGTGCGTCTTTCAGATCGTACGTGATCGGAACGGTGGGATTGACGCTGACAATCTTGAAAATTTCCGTGCTCCAATTCGGTGTGTTTCCTTTCTCGAACATGGCTTTGAGTCTCGAGATCCGGACGTGATCACCGACATTCAGTTTTCGTCTGGCCAGACGTCTCTTTTCAATTTTACTCAGCGGCGGCCCACGAAGCTTTTGCAGGATCATCGGTACATCCTTTTCGGTGACATCGATTGCTTTCATCCCGATTGTGCGATGAACGCTCCCGTTATATTCACGGATGAGTTTCGGTAATAGATCTACCCACTTGTACGATCCTTGCGCACTGAACTCTCTCCACATCTTCGTTTTGAGCGTTCGGTTGAATCGCTCCACAATAGAGGCTTTGGTTGTCGATTACGAGCTGTACATATTGATCTTGTGACGCTTCATCAATACTTGACATCTGGAGTTGTAGAATTCCGAGCCCATATCGACTTGTAAATGTTTCGGTGACTTTCCGGCTGCTTTGAGAACGCGTTGCAGAGCATAAGTGACATCCGCGGCCGTTTTCGATTTGAGCGGTTCGGCCCACGCCTTTTTCGAGCACGCGTCGATGACGGTGAGGAGATATCTGTTTCCTTTGTTGACCGAGGCGTACGGTTGCATCTCGACGAGATCGGCTTGCCATAAATCGAACAATCCGAGAATCCGTACTTTACGACGCGGATAGTTTCGTCGTGCAGGTTTATGTAGCTCTTCGACGATCCCACGCTTTTCTGCCGACATGATATTTATCGTCGACGTCGTCGTCGTCCGCTCTCTCGATTCAAATGCTGTTTCGTTGCTACTATTTTAACCAGACGATTGTAAGATTGCTGAAGTTGGAGGTTACGCTCCAGACAGTGTTGAGCTAATTTCATGGCTTCCTTCCACTTCCGTTTGGACCATTGTTTGTTCACCGCATCCTCATCGCTTTCGGGATCTTGCACTTGACGAATCCGTTTGTACGATACGATATAATTTCCGTCGGAATCCAGTGAGAATCCGTCACCTTTTGGCCCGCGGCGTGATTTCGATCGTCCAAAACCGTCGGTATGACTCATCGCAACACTATTTTCCTTTCATTCGATTCACAACGTCTAAATGACTGATTCTATTTTCCAGTCGTGATAATTTCGTCTCGAGTCGTTGCGCGATACTTTTGTATTCTTCCATTTTCTCCAAACAAAGCTGTGTCGAATTCATAGCTTCCGTCCACCTCGAGTCTGTCCATTGTTTGTTCACGGCGTCGGTATCCTCTTCGGGATCTTGCAGTTGTCGGATCCGTTTGTTGGATACGAGATAATTTCCGTCGGGATCCAGTAAGAATCCGTCACCTTTGAGACCTTGCTTCGTGTTGCGAACGTAAGTCCCTTTCGATCTTCCAAACCGGTCGGTGTGACACATTTTTGTGCGGAACCTATATTTAGTGGATGTAATCTGCTTTCCGATGCTCTTCGACGATACTCGGAATTTCACGATCGTGATCGGTGTGACCAGCTTGTTTCGAAGCTACAAGTAAAACGAGACGTTGGACCAATTCGTTCGGATCGTCCCAATAGACGAGTTCCCGTTTCGCACGGTGAATTTTAATACCTGAGCCTTTCTTCAGTTTTTTACTCGATGACTTCCTCGTTGATCTCGGAGTAGATGTAGCGGACAAAGGTTTGAAGAGATCGCGGTATTTTTGACTGCGGTTCGAGTTGGGTCTACCGTGTGGATGGTGATTCCTCCAATGCGCATTGGTGAGCGTAACTACTCGTTTGAAATTAGCACGATCATCTGCTGTGTAATTACGCGGATGTTTCTTAAAAATGAGCTCCAAGAATCCGGGTGTCGGTTCGAACACCTCATCGCCACCGTCCAAGATTAGTCGTCCGTCCGAATCGAAACTTATGGTTCGGTTTCCGATAAGATAGTTTCCGTTGATCGCTTTCCGCACACCATACGCGGGATCGGATTGTTTCGGTTGTTTCTCCAGATCGTCCAAGTAGAACTGTACGTGCGGGGCAGTGATTGTGTTTCGAGAATCGACACCGTCTTCACTGCGACCCGTTGTTTGTTCTTTACTCGTTGCATCTTGGAACGTTTCATCATCATCATCATCATCATCATCTTCCTTTGAATCGTCATCATCATCATCATCATCATCATCCTCCTTTGAATCGTCATCATCATCATCATTGTTCAAATTTTTCGGTGATCCGAACGAAGCAAATAAACTATGAACAAACGTTGTTCCATGTTTCGTTTCCGATTTTGAAGCTTCGATCTTGGTTTTCTTTTCCTGAGGAGCAGCAACAAGTGCGAAAGTTGACGACGACATAGTTTTCTGCAATGCTGCGAGCGGATCTGTCAACGGTTTGAAAACTTTCTTCAACTAACCTGAGCGTCCGCCTCTCCGGTGCGAATGGTATTTAACTTCCGTTTGATATCTTGACGGATTTTATCGATACTACCGTATTTCTGAGCGATCGTCGACAACGATAAGTTATCCATCTTGTACAATATAAGTATCGAAGCCTTTCCGGTACCTTCCCTCGTTCTTATTACTATCTTTATCGATGACTAAAAACCCGTACTTGTCCTGCCAGCACACCGAGCAGATGTGTCTGAAATCTTCGAACGTGAAATCTGTGTTGACGTGATCGTCGTAGATGTGTCGCAAGTTTGTATTGTCCTGTTTGAAAACTACGAGCAGGTTAGCGTTATCGCGAATCAATTGTTTCGGTATGCGAGAATACGTTTGACACTAGTAGAAACTGTCGACCGAGCTGTGTCTTCCCATACTGAAATATTCCCGCATCGCATTTTGTTTGTCACAAGCGACTTCATCGAAAGTGAAGACCGAGTCTGATGCGGCATCGTTTGGTGGAACAATCTCGGCCGTGTCCGAATAGACGTTGTATCCGAGACCGTCGATTCCGTCAAATATCTGACGCAGTTCTTCGTACTTGGGTTGGAACGGTGTCTTGGAGTACAAGTACACGTTGCGGAACTTCAATCGGTTCGGATGTTGTAGCAAGCAAACCATCACGTTTGTTTTACCGCAGTTGGACGGTCCGGCGACAATGCAACGGATACTATCCGGTAACAGTTCACTGTGTCGTCGTCGTCGTTGTCGTCGGTTTTTATTTTGCTTCTTCCGTTTGTCGAGGTTCGGGACTCGCAATGACTTTCTTTGCTTGACGAGTCGCATCGTATTCGTTCCCTATTTATCGGACAGTTATTTTTTACTTCTCCGTATAAATAGTATGGACATTTTCGTCAGAGTATGTTACCGAGAAGAACATC